TCCCTGCGAGGGACTCTGCGAGATTCCAGTGCCTGTGAGGGCTTGAAGGGCCTGGCGGAGGAGCAGGTGCGAATCTGCCAGCGGCAAGTGGAAGCCATGGACTCAGTGAAGCATGGAGCAGAGCTGGCCATAGAGGAGTGTCAGCACCAGTTTCACAACCGTCGATGGAATTGCTCCACTCTTCAGGGGCTACAGGTCTTTGGCAAGGTTGCCATACAAGGTCAGAGGTCAAGAGTTAGGCAGATCTAGGCAGTGCATGGAACATTTGCCATCAGTGCCCGACTACTGGGCTCATGTCCAAACCCCACCCTAATGCTCACACTAAACCTAACTTTTAAACCTTCACCCTAGCCCCAAACGAAACCTTACCACGCTTATCTTAATTCTAATAGTAAGTAGAACACTAGACTATATACACATGCTATAACTAACACTAGTACTCCGGCTAAACCACTCCCTAAGTCTACCCCTAATGTTCACCCTGACTCTAGTGGTCAATTAGACACTGATCCTAATGCTCACCTAGACTATTCATCCTAATGGTCATGCATACTATTAAACCTAATGCTCACCAAACCCGAAGGGAGCGTGCTTGTGTTTGGAAAGTAGATTCAAGTCAACTGAAAGATACAGTGACTTTGTATTGATTTTGGTGAATTGTTTCAGTTGAAACAAAAAAAGAAAACAAAATGTTTCAATATTTTGGGCTAGCTTTACAAGGGGATTTAGGCACCATTCACAAAACAGGAGGAGGAGGTGTTCCCCCTCCCCCGCAACCTTTTCACCTAATGGTTAGAGTAGTCACCTGGAATGTGGAAGACCCAGGTTCAAAATCCTGCTCAGGAGCAGGGACTTGACCCCAGCTGTCCTTCTTACCACAAAAGTATCCTGACCACCAGGGTATTCTGATGTGGGGCTTGCTCAATCTTTCCTGTTGAAGGTGTTATACTGTGGATAATTATAATTATTAAAATATAAATTATATAATTGCAAATAAAAAAATCATTAGCACAGGGACTGGAAGCCAGGTGTCCTACTTCTCAGGTGGGGGGCCTAACCACTGGGCTATAGAGTCAGTCTCACTGTCTCTCACGGTGGCCCAATGACTATTTAAGTATTTTATACACAGTGGAACAGCTTTAGTAGGAGATCTCAAGACAGCTCTACCCCAGAATAGCTTGAGCATGCACCTGGGAGCCTTCCCTTCTCTCTCCCACAGATAAGTGCCCCAACTGCTGAGCTAAATGTTATCATGAGGGGCATCGCCTACTCCTTCTGTTTGTGAACAAAGCCCTTCATTTTCTTTGCTTTTTAAAAAACGTTTACAATTTCCAAAAATGAAACAAAATGTTTTATTTAACCCAAAATGATTTTTCCCTAATTTGATTCTCCAAAAATATGTTACTGTTTCAGTTTGAGCTAACCTATTTCTTTATTTTTTTTTTTTGCAGAACTGCCAGCAAACCAAAAAATTAGTTATTTGCCTTGCTTTAGGCCTGAGAAATGAGGCTCCAAGCCATTCACTGGGGGGGTGACTCTCTAGGCTCACTGACCCCCTTAGGGCTGCAGGATGGTTCCTGCGCTCAGACTCACTGCATGCTCTCTGGTTCTCCCCCTAAAAAAATTCCCTCTGAGACTTGCATCCCCTTCCCTCCCTGCTGGGGACATGAGACCTCTGGGACTGAGGAGCCCAGAGCTGCGTGCATGCCATGTGGGATCTCCCTGGTGCCCTACCACGAGGGGCTATCCTCTCCCTGCTGTGGGATCCAAGACCTCTGAGGATGTAGCAAAACTCCCTTTAATGATTTACCAGTGTGATCTCTGTTTGAACATCTCCTTTCTGGGAGTGACACAGCATTATCACATAGCCCCTGCGTGTCTCAGGCTGCCTCCGTGTGTCTAATGCAGATGAAACTGCAACGTTTCCTCTCTCCACAAATGAACTGAAGGAGAAATTCCTTAGACAAATCTTGAAGAAATTGTTTCTTCCAAAGGCTGCTTCTGTCTCTTCTGCAGGTACACGAGAATCTGCTTTCATTCATGCCATCTCATCAGCGGGAGTGGCGTTTGCTGTGACCCGGGCCTGCAGCCGTGGGGAGCTGGAGAAGTGTGGATGTGATCGCAAGATCCATGGAGTCAGCCCAGAAGGTAACAGAAGGTGGTTGGTGCTGGAGAAAGAAGCCCCCCATTGACATGGGAAGAATTGGAAGGATGAACAGGAGCAGACAACAAAGCTTGCTACATATCCCTGGGAAGGGGACGGTGCAGAGGAGAGCGGAAAAATAAATGGGGATGGAGAGTGCCGCCACTGCATGCCCTTGGGATGAGAACAGTATAGGGAGGGTGGGGCCAGTGAGATATGAGCAGAGTGATCTTCTTTTCCCTGCTTGGGAAGCCTGAACACCTCTACATCTGCCCCCACACCTGGAGCAGCCTCTCTGCCTCATGGACTCTCTCTCTCTTCCCCAGGATTCCAGTGGTCAGGCTGCTCTGACAACCTGTCCTATGGTATTGCCTTTTCTCAAGCCTTCGTGGATAACCCTGAGCGGAGCCGTGGTGTCTCGTCCAGCCGAGCACTCATGAACCTGCACAACAATGAGGCTGGTAGGAAGGTAAGGTTGGTACCACGTGCTGGGGAACATACCCAGATGTCTGAGCACCTCGTTGGGGGCCAGAGACTGTCCCATCCCCCACTCCTTTGTCCAGATTAGAGTGGCACCCACAAACTGATTACCTCTGAGGAGAGCCCTTCCCTTCTGATTGGATCCAATTCCCTGCCTTTCCTTCAGAGTCTATCATTGCTCTGCCCCAGAGCAGAGCCTGTTCCTTATATGCCTTGGAGTGGATCCCAATTCCTCAGCTCCACCGCCCTCAGAGCACTCTTCTTTCCCTCCTACAGTCTAGAAGTGGATTCCCCTTCCTCTGCCTCTTTCTTAAAGTGAATCCATTTCCCTCACTCTGCCTTCAGGCAATTCCCCATCCCTTCACCTCTTTTGAATGAATGGATCACTTTCCCCAGCCACTGCCTCCTGAGTAGGTCCCTGACCCTCCCTCTGACTCACAGTGGATCTTGTTCCTTTCCTTTGTGGCAGAGTAGATCCCTTCTTCTACAACCTCAGAGTGGATCCCTTTCTCATTTTTGAGAAGGCCTGCTCATATCCCTGTGCGAAGGGATCGCTGTAGTTCTGGGCAGGTCCTTTCCGCCCATAGTGGATCCCTTCAGCTGATGAGTGGATCAGTTACTTGTATTTCATATTCCTGTGAGCAGCCTCCATTCATTCTCTGTTCCCTGTCACACACCTTAGAGTGACCCCTTTTCCCCAGGCCTCCCTTTCCCTGACTCTCTGTGTCACACTCCCCACGTTCAGCACCCCCTGGGTGGTAAGGAGAAGCTCCACTGTAAGCTTAAATCCACTTCTCACTGGCACCCTCAGGTGGGCTGCATGAGGCCCTCCACCTCCTGCTGACAGACGCTTTCTACTTGCCAGGCCATCCTGTCCCACATGAAGGTAGAGTGCAAGTGTCATGGAGTGTCAGGTTCCTGCGAGGTCCGCACCTGCTGGAAGGTGATGCCCCCATTCCACAAGGTGGGCAATGTCCTGAAAGAGAAATTTGAGGGGGCCACAGAGGTGCACCCCAAGCGGGTTGGTTCCCGCAAGCTCCTGGTGCCCAAGAGCTCCCGCTTCAAACCCTACACAGCTCATGACCTGGTCTACTTGGTGGCCAGCCCAGACTTCTGTGACCGGGACCCCCATAGTGGGGTCTTTGGCACCTCCGGACGCCAGTGCAACCGGACGTCCCATGGCATGGATGGCTGCGAGCTGCTGTGCTGCGGGCGAGGCTTCCACACGGCCCAGGCCGAGGTGGTGGAGAGATGCAGCTGCAAGTTCCACTGGTGCTGTTCAGTCAAGTGCAAGCAGTGCCGCCACCTTGTGGAGGTGCACACCTGCCGGTGAGGGGGAGCTGAGCTGAGCTGAGCTGGGGGGAGGGAGCAAGTGGTGGGCAAGAGTGCCAGCACCAAGAGGCGGGGAACCTTGGGGAAGACATGGGAAGGGGATGACTCAGAGAGAGGGACAGAGTTCCAGAGAGGAATATACAAATTGGGGGGGGGGGAGGGGGAGGGACGGAGACCCTTTACCACTTCAATGAAGAGGGAGCTGATTGCTCCAGAGGGGGCATCTCTGGGGGGGCTGCACAGAGGTTGCTCCCCAGTTACAGAGGGGTTTGTCTGGGATGTGGCTCAAGGGTATTTGGGTTTACTCGCTTGTGATGGCATTCTCTGAATTTTTTGGGAGGGGGCATGGGGTTGAACACACAGAGTCAAATAAACCCTTAAAATATTAGGAATAAAATTATTGTATTAGCAAAAGATGCGAGCGTGAGCTACTGTATGTGTGAAACCCTGGGTGGGCACTTCCGTGCATGCACTGGGGTGGGGGAGACTGCGCTCAGAGTCCATTCTGAAGGCTCAGGACTCCAGTGCCCTTTGCATGCAGTTAAATGAGGGGCACTGGTGAATGTGTGAATGCGCAAGGAGAACCCACTGAGAGTGCAAGAGACACTGCTGACGAAGCTAGTGTGGATGAAAGAGTACTAGGGAGCGGATCCACGTGGTTCAAAAAGAACAGCAGATAAAAGAACAGAGAAAGTGAAGCACGTTGGCTGAACAGGCTCTTTATAAACCAAAACATAATATATAGGAAACAACCCACTGGTTGTGTCCATGGCAGGAGGCCTGAGGGTAAAAGACATTGTGGGCTTTGGGCAAGGGCCATCAGGCAGGAACCTGGAAACTGGCAGAGACTCCAAGTGAATCACCCCAGGGTTGATGCCGCTCCTGTTGCTGGAGTCCCTTTTCCCAGCTGCTGACCCTTAGAGGCACCCGGGGGACAGCTGAAACTGTACAGTGCCCGGGTTGGTGTCAAATGAAATGCCAAGGTCAGGGATTCCCCAGTGAATTCTGGGGTGCTGTCATTCACACTGCTGTATGGAGCAGAGAGGAGGCTGTGGCACTTGCATGAAAGCAGGGGTGGGCACCAGACGTTATCCCTGGGGACAGAGAGACAGACAGAGGTTGGGAAAAGTTGCTTCAGGTCCTATCAAGTTTCTCCTCACTCTCTGCCTCCACAGGGTCCATTCAGTGCCCTATGCCCCCTTTTTCCTTCATCCCTGGGGTCTCCCTCTGTCCTCTCTCCTCCACTCATCCCTCAGTCAAGCTGAAGAATTTCTGGCTCCAGAGCAGCACCTCCTCCTCGCCTTTCTCTTCACTCAGCACTTGGTATGTCTCGTTCCTGCGGCAACCATGACGAAGCACCTGAGCAGATAGACAGAGAGATAGACAACCCACCCTAGAGTCAAGGGACCCAAACACCAGTCAAGGGAGTCCTGGGAGTGAAAGGAGCTGTCTCCCCGTAACATGAGCCCTGCAAGTATGAGAGCCTGTCTCTTGACCAATGGAGGGTCGGGAAGAGAAGGCCCTGTCCCTAGGTCACTGCAGGGTGGAGACCCTGGGTGAGGAGAACCAATCAAAGGTGGCAGAGGGGCAATCCCTGATGGAAAATGTGGCTGGGCTGCACTAGGTTGGTGACCTAGGATTTATTTATTTTTCTCTCGTTTTGTTCTCCATAATTTCAGATTTAATTAAAAATAACTTTTTGAAGGTTAAGGGCCTGAGATATACACGAGGTTAGACTAGATGATCTAATAGTCCCTTCTGGCTTAAACTCTACAAATCTATGACATAAGTTTCTAGCCCTGATGGTTGTGAAGAAAACCTTCAAAATATGAACTCATGACATCTGCCTGAATCTGAAGACAGCTTGGAACAAGGGCTCTGAGAAGCTTAACTCTGCCACGTTTATTTCAGTGGGTGCTAACTCACATGTCCAATTATGCTGATTTAAAACGTCAGCACTGTTATCTCAGAGACAAGCTGGGTGAGGTATATCTGTTAGCAATGTTGGTCCCAGGATATTAGAGCGACAAGGTATCTGTTTTACATCTAATTACAGCTGTGAATAAGGAAGGAAGGAGGAGGATCAATTTATGGAATTTTGCATAATCTACTGTGAGTGACCTTTGAGTTTGTGCCTCTAGTGCATGGTGCCTGGAAGATACACAACTTTTCTGCCCCCAGTCTGTGAAGCCAAAGGTCTTAGAGAAGGAGTGGAGCCTGGGGGGGGGGGGGGAGGTCTAGTTGACTCTGGTGGTGGGTATGGGGTGTGATAAATAAAGTAGTGGGATAGCTTCCTTTGATGGACACCCAGCCAGCCGGTTAGCTGTAAAATCCCTCTTGGTAGCTGTTCTTTACTTGCTTTACCTCTAAAGGGTTAAAAAGTACCCCAGGTAAAGAGGAAAAAAAAGTGGGCACCTGACCAAAAGAGCCAATGAGAAGGCTAGAACTTTTTAAAATGAGGAAAGAAACTTTCCCTTTATCTGTTGTTCTCTGGGCTGCAGGGACAGAACAAGGAGCAATGGTCTCAAGTTGCAGTGGGGGAGGTCGAGGTTGAATATTAGGAAACACTTTCACTAGGAGGGTGGTGAAGCACTGGAATGGGTTACCTAGGGAGGTGGTGGAATCTCCTTCCTTAGAGGTTTTTAAGGCCTGGCTTGACAAAGCCCCTGCTGGGATGATTTAGTTGGTGTTAGTCCTGCTTTGAGCAGGGGGTTGGACTAGATGACCTCCTGAGGTCTCTTCCAACCCTAATATTCTATGATTCTATGACAGAGCAGCAATGCTGTAAGCAAGAATGCTGTGTAAGGTTTGAACCAGGTATGAAAAATTATCTTCCATACCTAGAAGGAATCCATTGGATAGGGTACGTTTAGATAAATGCAATCAGGTTTATTCTTTATTTTGGATTGTGGATCTCCTCTGTGCTAAACCCAGATGCTTTTGTTTGCTTGTAACCTTTAAGCTGAACCCCTAATAAAGCCATTTTGGGTGCTTGATTTTTGGAATTGCTCTTTTAAAATCTAGCAAAAGCCCAAGTTCCAGATGTATTTTCTTTCTTTTTGTTTTTAATAAAAAATTACCTTTTTAAAGAACAGGACTGGACCTCCTAAGAGGTTTGTGCACATGTTGTTTAATTAGCTTGTAGCCACAGCTAATTTCCTTCGTTTTCTTTCTCAGCTCTTCCTCCGGGGGTGTGTGTGTGTGTGTGAGAGTGAAAGGGCTTAAGGATACCCCACAGGGAGGAATTCCCAAGTGCTCCTTCCTGCGTTCAAAGGGGTTTTTTTGCATTTGGGTGGTGGCAGCATTTACCAAGCCAAGGTCAGAGAAAAGCTGTAACCTTGGGAATTTAATACAAGCCTGGAGCGGCCAGTATTAATTTTTAAAATCCTTGCAGGCCCCTACCTTCTGCACTCAGAGTGGGGATTCAGCCTTGACATGGGGTCAGGTGGATTTCTCTTTGACCTTAGTGGTTGGTGCACCTTCCTCTGCTGCTTTCTCCCCACTGGCACCATTGCATCGATTACACTCGGATTTTTCTTCAAAATCATAAAGACTAGAAAAACTTTTTGATGGACATTTAAATTTAAATTTTATCACATGAGTCCAAGGCACATGGTATGTGCCTGGTTCTAGGTATAACCAAATCCCACTGAGGAGTCAAGCCCGAAGAGTCTAGCAGAGGATGTCTGATCATGTTTTGAACATCTGCACCATCTACTACAAGTGGCATCTCTTTTTGGAAACCCAAGTGGGTGAAGCTTGATTTGTGGGTAGAGCTTAGGAGAGTACCACCACACACACCCCACCCCAATTCAAGTCCTGCAGGAGGGGAAAATCCTGGGGCAGGGAAGGGGCAGGACAGAGCCAAGAGATGGGAAACTGGAGTTGGGAGGGCTGCCATTCTGGACTGTGAATGGTCAGTGTGGAGCTGGGTAGATCCCTGGGGAGTGGGGCTGCTCCTCACCTTCTGGCTGCTGAGGCTGCGCTGTAGGCACTGGTGACTCTTGAATGCACAGTAATTAGGGTGCTGAACTCTATCTGAGTCACAGATCTGGGGAGAGAGCAGTGACATGTTAGAGAGAAAATAGAGGTGAGGAGGAGGGATGAGTGGACAGTGGGATTCGGCACTTACTTTGTTTGGGAAGTCTCCTCCTTGGAAGAAAGCATATTCCACTTGCAGCCAAAGGATCACGCGGGGGTCATCACAGCCATGCGTGGCCAGGCGGCCACACCAATAATCTGCACGCAGCCCTCCGTACACCTCCATCCCATAATACCCCATTGCCTCCAGGGAACCAACCTGCCAACAGAGGAGAGGATTAGAGACAGGCAAGCGTCCTTACTGCAATGCCCCGGTTATGCCTAATCCAAGACCTGCCTCAGAGCCTTGGGTACAAGCGGAGCTGGGTCTGTACCTTATTGCCCACAGCCTGATACTGGGCAGAGATCTCAGGGTTGATGTAGGTAGTGAAGGTGCCAACATTGCAGTGAACACGTCTCAGATCTGACACCCCATGGCACTGCTCCCTCTTCAGTGAGCAGAAGGCACAGTCAGGGCATAGATCCATGTGGTGCCTTCCAAGACTATCGCACACCTAGAGAGGAAGAAAATGGCAAGGTGAAGGGGCTGTTGTGGACTGAGTGGGGCAGGGAGGGAGGGCATGGGGAGACTGAGAGCTGGTCTCAAAGGCCTCCCATGCTCTTGGACCAGACTCTGTGTGTAGGTCCCATCTAATTTATAATCTAGCCACTCCAGCCCCAACCTCTTCCAACAGGAGGGACTGTAGAGAGCAGAGCCAGAGCACTGGCTATTTGGGGAGTTCTCATATACTCCTGTACCAGATGCTACAGTCAGGAAGAACTGCTAAGAGGGATTAGGGAGTGTTGCCACGGAGGCTAAATAGTGATTCTTACCGAATCCCCAAATCCAAGGGTTCTTGCCTCCATTCGCTTCCAAGCCTGGGTAATGGCTGATGATAGGCAGATCCCCTCCAGCATTGCATAGCAGAGAATCACCAGAGCCTCATCCCTCTCCAGAGCTAAGAGGCTAATGCAGAGTAAGAAACAGAGAAAGGAACAGCAAGTCAATATCTGGGATCTGTAGTTTCCTGCTGGTTCTTTAAGGGATGAGCGGAGAGTGCTACACTGGCTCATAGTCCAGAAGTTCTGTGTGTTTGTATGAGTGGCAGGCATGTGTGCAGTGTTTGTATGTGTATGTGTAATATGTATGTGTATTAGTGTATATTTATCAATATGTGAAGGGGAATTTGTACAATGAATAGCATTACTGAGAGTTATCAGGTGGCACTACTGCAGTTCTTGCTAGTTTTGTTTATTTGAAGATATAGGAATTAGATCTTGGAGAACTGCTTATTGTCAGCTGTGGTGACACACAACACAACAGTGCACTGGACAAGGAAGTTTCATGCATTTTTAGTGTGCACATAATTGTGTGTGTGTGTGTGTGTGTGTGTGTGTGTGTGTGTGAGGAGCTCAGTAGGCATGGGCCCAAGAGTAGGTGTGTGAGGAACTCACTGTGCACACTCATAAGGGTATTTTTGTGGGCATGAGAAGGCCTCAGCCATGCATGTACAAGAGTATAGGTGCAAGAAACTCTCCAGGTATGTGCACAAGGTTGTGGTTGTGCAGCTGTATAATGAGCTCTCCAAAGGTGTGGGTGAGGCACTCACAGTATGTGTATGTGCATGAGAGTGTTACCAGACCACAGTGAACTGGTCCTATATCTAAACAAATCCTACTTAATAACAGCAGACAACCACCTACTACAAACCCTCTACAGATAACCCAGGAAAGAGATCTGGAGACAAAATTCAAAAGAAAAACATGAGACCGCCCTGAAAACTTCAAAAACCTAATGAATGCACATCAAACACACACTCTGGCCAAATAGCAAATGACATTAACATTGCCACAAAAGACTCTCTCAGAGTCTTTACCAGACCAGCACAGCATCCCTAATCACACAACCACACAATCCTAACCACACAAAACAGGACTGCCACTCCAAGAGAAAGCAAAATGATTTCACAGAAGCTGCCATATACTCAGGAATAAAGTGAGAAACTCTCCAACTTAAAACACAGAGAGGTACATGTCACTGACCTATGCACAGCTTGCCACAGCTCACTGATGTACAACAAATCAGTGCTCCAGCAAAAAAACTGGAGCACCAGACGGAAAAATTCACACAGACTGAAGATATGATGGACACCAAATGCTTCTGGCAAATCTGGAAAAAATTTAAGCCAGCTAAAGAAAAAAAACCCCATCTATTCAGAATAGTAGAATCTGGACAGAACACTTCTGGGACCTATACAAAGGTATCCAACACCTGAAAACACATTGAAACAATTTGCCTCAACCCATCCGGGTTCGTTAGTTAATTAACCTAACCATTCAGTCTGGACACTTCCCTGAGATATGGTCAATGGACAAGCTACCTGAATACAAAAGCGGAGATCCCTCAACCTAAACAAATATAAAGGGCTCTGTTTGAGCAGCAACAGTTGGCTAGCTATTCTGTAGTATCGTCAGCAACAGAATAATGCATTACCTGACCAGTCACAACATAGTTCAGGCATGCCAAACTGTTTTTCCTTGAGAAATGAACTATAGGCCACATTATAACCTTACAGGTGCTATCATGGTTACAAGGAGAGCAGTGCCTTACACCCCTTTCCAGTCCCTCTTAAGTGTGCCTCTCACGTGACAGTTTTTACTGCCTTCATCCCTGTCTGTGTGGAACTCCGCCATTTTACCTCTTTTAGACTGATGTCTGGTTGCAGCCCCTGTTTACCACCTGTGATATCTTGACAGGCCTAGCTGTATTTGGTACTTGGAAGAAACATCCTTCTGGGCTTGTGACCAGCAGCAGACTGAAGTGACTCAAAACAGTTTCTTCAAAACAAATGCATTGTTTATTCACCCAAAGGTACATTGCAACCAGAGAAGAGAGTTAAAACAACCAAAGGCATACAGACCTGGCTCTCGCCTAAAATTTATAATTTCCCTCAAGCTTAGTCAAGCCCAGCTGCCTCAGACCCATCCTGCAGGGCCTGTGTCTCAGTCCCTCTACTCTCTGCAAACAATTCCCTGATGGCTGAACTTCCCTCTCCCTCTCTAGAGAGTTAACTGTCTAGTCTCCTTTTGACCTTAGGCCTTCAGCCTTGTCAAATCAGCTATGGTAATTTTGACTGGTGGCTGGAAATAGCATCTTCCCAATTAGTGGCCCAGCCATTGTTCTCTTAACTCCCTTGAATTTGCTTACCCAGAGGTGTCTTATCTCTGTCCATTCTCTTGTTTCCTGCTTGTTCTTCCTAACAGCCCCTTTTGATTTAACTCCCTGTAGTCAGATAGAATAATATATGCAGTGGGGGATAAATCGTCGGTAATACCCCACCACACCTAGGAACGCCCGGACTTGTTTCTTGCGACTTGGTCGGGGCCAATTTTGGATGGCCTCTAACTTGTTCACTTGGGGTTTTACCAAACCTTTACCCACAATGTAGCCAAGATATTTGGCCTCTGTAAACCCTACAGCACACTTGGCAGGGTTTGCTGTAAGGCCAGCTCGCCTGAAGGTATCGAGGACTGCCTCCACCTTCTCCAGGTGGGTTTCCCAGTCTGGGGTATGAATGACCACATCGTCCAAGTAGGCAGCAGCATAACTGTTATGCGGGTGTAATAGCTTGTCCATGAGGCGCTGGAAGGTAGCTGGGGCCCCATGTAGTCCAAAAGGGAGGACAGTATATTGAAAAAGACCCTCTGGTGTAGAGAACGCAGTCTTTTCCTTTGCGTCTTCTGCAAGGGGAATCTGCCAGTACCCCTTTGTCAAGTCTAGGGTAGTCAAGTACCGGGCATTACCCAGATGGTCCACTAGCTCATCTATGCGAGGTATGGGGTACGCGTCGAACTGGGATACTTCGTTTAGTCGCCGGAAGTCATTGCAAAATCTTGTGGTGCCATCAGGTTTGGGCACCTGCACGATTGGGCTGGACCACTGACTGTGTGATTCTTCGATGATCCCCAACGCCAGCATTTTTTTTACTTCTGCTTTTATTTCCTCCCTTTTTGCTGCTGGCACCCGATAGGGCCTCACTGTTACTCTGGCCCCAGGGTTCGTGACGATGTGGTGATATGTCTCAGTTGTTCGACCTGGTTTTGTCGAGAACACATCTTGGTTCCGGAAGATCATCTCAGACACCTCATTCTTCTGGTCTGGTGTTAAATTGGGAGACACTCTCACCTGTTTGGAAGGCTTGTTTTCCTGGGTTAGGTCTTTTTGGACTGTTGTGCATGCCTCCTTCCTAATGTTGTCATACCTTGGATCTTCTGCCTGCTCCTGTCCAAAATTTCCTCTCCCGGGGCTAATCTGCCCAAGATCTAGGGGCCCAGTCTCTGTTGCCTCTACTGGTTCAGAAGCATTAGGGTGGGGGTCAGACTCAGGTGCTTCTTTCTCCTGCGTGGCCTCCTTTTCAGCTGCGCGGGTCCGCCTACCTACCTCTGGCTTTTGGTCAGTATTCGGGTTCCCAAGGCCTTAGCTGCCCTTCTTTCCCTTTTTGTCTTTCTACCCTGTCTGGGAGTGGAGAACAAATCTGGGGATATTTCAGAGAAGATTGGGGGTTGACAATCTGCTGTGGATGCTTCACCAATTTTTGGGTCCCCATCTTTCTCCAATCCCCCTACTGGGAGTAAGTTTACAAACCCTGGGAAGTCCCTCCCTATGAGCACCGGGTATGGGAGTTTAGGGACTACACCTGCTGCTACCTCAGTAGTGTTCCCTTGGATCTCGATTTTTATTGGGATGGTGGGGTAGTAGCTACCTGTCCCATGGACACGTTATCCCTGTACGTTTAGCCTGTAGCAGCTGACTACGCTTCACGAGCTTCCCTGAGATAAGCGTGATAGCACTCCCCGAATCAACCAGTGCCGTGGTCCCTACCCCATTTAGTTTCACTGGTCTGGTATACATATGTGGGGTTAGTGAGACCCCCACAAGGTGGATTAGGGAGCATGGATCTGCCCAGTTCCCCAGGTTACACTGCATAGGCTCCTCAGCATTGGGACACTGTACAGCTATGTGTCCCCACTCCCCGCAGGCATAACATCTGTATGGAGCCCTAGGCGTTCCCCGGTCTCTTGGTTTGGGCAGTCTAAGATCATGATCCTCTTCTCCCTCAGTGCTCCGACTCTTTGTGGCCTCTGATGGGCCTTCAGCCTCTCTCTTTTTCCATCTGGGCCCTCCTGGTGGCCCAATCACCCGAACTTTAGGGCTTGGTGCTGCTAGTTTAACCCGGGGTGCCTCTTCCTTAACTGGTCAGGTCAGCTCCCTCGCTGTCCTTCGCCCCTCTACCAGGGCGACAACCTCGTCATAGGTGGAGGGTTCGTTCTGGCTTACCCAGGCATGAAGGTCTGGTGGTAGTCCCCTCATGTATTGGTCAATGACCAGAACCGCTAGTATCTCTTCCGGACTCCGGGACTCTGTTTGCAACCACTTTCGTGCGAGATGGATGAGGTCATACAATTGGGACCGCGGGGTTTTGTCTTCCTGGTACCTCCAACCGTGATACTGCTGGGCCCGCACTGTTGTCGTTACCCCAGATCTGGCCAGGATCTCTGCTTTCAGCTGGGGGTAGTCTGCCGCAGCCTCTTCAGGCAGATCATGGTAGGCCTTCTGGTAGGGTTACCATTCGTCCGGATTTCCCCGGACATGTCCGGATTTTAGAGCTAAAAATAGCGTCCGGGGGGAATTTCTAAATGTCCGGACTTCCCCCCGGGCTCCGACAGCCAGAGACAGCCCCTCCTTCCCCCTGCAGCAGAGATCGCTCCCTCCCTGCATTTGCAGATCACCAGCCGGCCGTTCGCACCGGCAGTCTGGAGCTCCTCCCCCTGCTCCTTCTCCCCGGCAAGCTGGTCTGAGCGGCAAAGTAAGGAGGCCAGGGGGTCAGAGAAGGGGCAGGGAGGTTCTGGAGGGAGCAGTCAAGAGACGGGGGAGGGGTTGGGCGTTCGGGGGGGGCTTTCTGGGGG